CCCCCCCCCCGGGGCGCTGCGCAGGCACGGGTAGGACTGAGACGGTTACCTTCCGCCGGGGGACGACACGACCTGCCTCCTGATGCGCATCAGCGGTCAACCCCCCCCCCCGCCACCACCACCTCCCCCCCCCAACCCCCTCCCCCAACCCCCTCCACCCCCCCTCCACCCCCTCCCCGCCCCTCCGCGCCCCTCCCTCCCCTGGGCCGGCCGCACCCCTCCGCCCGATGATCTGCAGGCGGCGCCACCAAAGCTGGGCGAGGCGGCGGCGGCGGCGGCGGCGGCCAAGAGTCCGGCGGCTGCAGCTGCCAAGTCAGCTGAGGCGAGCGCTGGCATCATCATCATCATCAGCAGCAGCAGCGAGCAGGCCGCAGCGCACTATTCTTCGGGCCGCTGCGCAATCCCCGTCCTCGGGCTTGGCAGCCCGACTGTACATTCTCACCTCCGCTGCCCGGGAAGCTTCCTGAAGCCCTGGTCGCCGTCTCTCCGACACAGTTTGACGGCGCCGGCGCTCTACTAACCACCCCACATCCCTACTACCTCGCCGTAACCTCCTGCCATACTACAGCATGCAAGGGCGCAGGGAATAACGCACACACCTACGCGTACACCGTACACGAATGTAACAATTATGTCGTGCGGTGTGCATGTGTGTGTATGTATGCACAGGTGTGCGTGGGACGTGCCGGGCTGCCGGCGCGTGTGCGCAATGCATGTCTCTCGAACTCGATGAACTCTTGAGTGTTACTGCTAGCCTAGGCGTATGTCACACACGTGCATGTACTATTGTGCGGCGCGCGGATATTGCATATCTTATTGCAAAAAAAGCTAATAAGGACCCGGCGGAGGTGGAGAGTCCCAAAAGACGCGCAAGCCCAAGCGAGCGACGCGCCGCGCCGCCCCCGCCCGGCTCGCGCGCCGCGCACGGCCGCGGCGCCCGCGCCCGCGCCGCGCAGCCGTCGCAAGCGGCAGGCGCGGGGAGGCGCGCAGGCGCAGCGGCGCAGGCGACAGGCGAGGGACACGACAACTTGACATGGCTTCGAGAGATGCCCCTCTGGGTGCAGGGGGCCAGCCGCACGCACAGACGCACAGCACGCGCAATGTAGTGGTTCCCCCCGCTAGCACATCTCGCGCAGGTACTGGTAGCCTACCATCCTCGCTCGCTCGTTCACCGCCAGCTTCATCGCCTGCGCCGGATGTGGGCGGGGGGCGGGTTGGGGTGGGTAGGGGGCACTCGTCGCGGCGGTGCGCGTACCGAGATCTCCGAGTCGATCTCCTCCATAAACTGGATCACAAAGTCAATAAGCTTGTGCTTCCAGAGGGCCTCGACGTTGAAGTTTGTCAGCAAAAAGGAGATGTCGTACCCGGGGACCGGCTTGCGCCGCAGGACGATGAAGTTGTCGGCGCGCAGCATCAGGAAGCGCGTGAACTTGCGCGCCAGGATCTCGTCCATCTCATCGAGCTGCTTGACCTGCGACCCGCGGAGGGGGGGGGCAGGGGGGGCGGGGTGGGGCGAGGCGGCGGCGAGGCGGGCGACTCCCTCCGCAGCAATGCGCGCCTTGATGGAGAAGCGGACGGAGTTGACTGCCGACTCGATGAGGACCGACTCATGGTCGGATCGCCTGATCACGATCGGGTTCAGCAGCAGCTCGCTCGACGTGCCGACCTCCACCTCGGGCTTGTTGTGCCTCTCGACGATCTGCGACGCAAAGTTGCTCACGCAGAGCGCGGCGCCCAGCGTCTCTCGGATACAGTCCAAGTACGGCTTGAGGGCGAAGTTGCCCTAGGCGCCGACCGCACGACGTGAGTGCGCGGATCTCGGCCGGTCTGTTTTGAGGAGCCGTGACACGCGCCTCTCGTGGTATCGTTCCCGACGAGCCGCCACGGAGGAAGCCAGATGACATGCCAGACGCTGCGGCCCAGATGGCAGGGCAAACAAAGAGGCCTCCCGACGACAAGTCGCAGTGAGAGAATAAGAATTCAACCACTTGTAGGAGGTCCTCCAAGAGAACGACGCTCGTCCCATCCCTCGTTTGGCGTGTCTGTTTTCTTTCTTTCTTTTAAGAGAACGACGCGACAGAGGAGGAAGTGACAAGGGAGAGAACGACGAGGGTGGGACGACCGCGAGGTGGCATGAAGGTTGCAGCGAGAATCGGCGAGAGACTGCGAAGAGAGATAGGAAGAGGCAGACTCCCTAGGGTGGGCGACGGATAGCGCACCACACACCTCTCCTTAAAATCCCTGTGTGGTGGCGGCGTGCCGTCCTCCCATCCCTCCCTTGGGTTGTCTGTTTTCTTTCTTTCTTTTAAGAGCAACAACATGACTTAGCCCCGCACGCTGACCTTGGGTTAGTCTTACACGCGGCTGGCGCCCTCTCGCGGCAAAAGGGTCGAGCGAGCGGGCAGAGTCGCGATGCCTGTGCACCCGCGTGCCGATGGGGCGGCATACGCAACCGAGAGAGGCCCTGTCACACCGCCAGTAGCGTTCCACACTCCCCACGCCACCAATTGCCGCCTCAGGGCGCCAGCCACCTCTTACACGCGGCCGGCGCCCTCTCACGGCAAAAGGGTCGAGCGAGCGGGCAGAGTCGCGATGCCTGCGCACCCGCGTGCCGATGGCGGCATACGCACCGAGAGAGGCCCTGTCACGCCGCCAGTAGCGTTCCGCACTCCCCACGCCACCAAATGCCGCGAGAGGGCGCCAGCCACCTCTTACACGCGGCCGGCGCCCTCTCGCGGCAAAAGGGTCGAGCGAGCGGGCAGAGTCGCGCAGGAGTCGCGATGTCTGTGCACCCGCGTGCCGATGGCGGCATACGCAACCGAGAGAGGCCCTGTCACACCGCCAGTAGCGTTCCACACTCCCCACGCCACCAAATGCCGCGAGAGGGCGCCAGCCACCTCTTACACGCGGCCGGCGCCCTCTCGCGGCAAAAGGGTCGAGCGAGCGGGCAAATTCGCGATGTCTGCGCACCGCCCCGGGGCGCGACGAGCGCGGGTGCCGCGTATAGTCCCGTTTCCGGCGGCCTCTACAGGTGGGCGACGGCTAGCACCACACTCCTCTCCTTAAAATCCCTGTGTGGTGGCGGCGTGCCGTCCTCCCATCCCTCCCTCGGGGTTTCTGTTTTCTTTCTTTCTTTTGCGGGACTGGCGCGCACTGGCACTAACACAGGTACACCACGGGAGCCGCCTAAGCGACTCCTGCGAGGACGGTGAGGCACTTAGCTCCGTGCACTCGACCGCCCTCGCCGCAGGCAAGCTCATTCACAATCTGCTCTGCGATGGCCGTGTGAAGAACGACTGAGATACGCTGTTTCTGCAGCCTTAGCCCGTTCTTGGTGGTCCAAGTCACCTCATCGAGGTACTGGGCCCGCGTCAGCTTGTTCTGTCGAACGTCCGCCGCCTTCCAGAGGATCTCGCCGACCCCCTTCCCGAACCCACCGAACGACTCGAGAAAAAGAATTTTCGCAGCGAACTCCTTTCGCAGGAGAAAAAGGGTGGCAAAAAAGGTGGCATGAAGGTCGCTGCGAGAATTGGCGAGAAACTGCGAACAGAGATAGGAAAAGGTAGACGCACAAGGGTGGGCGACGGCTAGCACCTCACTTCTCTCCTTAAAATCCCTGTGTGGTGGCGACGTGCCGTCCTCCCATCCCTCCCTTGGGTTGTCTGTTTTCTTTCTTTCTTTCTGAGAAAAAGGGTGGGCGACGGCTAGCAACACACCTTCCTTCCAGTGAAATCCCTGTGTGGTGGCGGCGTGCCGTCCTCCCATCCCTCCCTTGGGTTGTACGTTTTCTTTCTTTTCTTTGAGAAAATTGGTTCCCAGAGGGAGCGCCCCAGAGACACAGAAACTGGCAGAACGAAGGCTACGAGCTGTTTGTGGGATAACGGACACGGGGCGAGCGCGATCAGAGTAGGGGAGCTACAGGAGGATCCCCTAAGCTCCTAACGCGCTTCTTGCTCCGATACGACGAATTTGAGACGGGGGCGAGCTGAGAGACGGCAAAGGAGCGCAAATCAAGATGGGAACAGACAGCGAGCCGCTCCGATCCGGGAAGGGACGAGCCCTGAACGTGAAAGTAGCGCAGACATGCCTCGCGCTGCACGTCTCACACGATTTCACACACTTTGCGGCGACGGACGGAGGAATGGACCAGGAAGACAAAATGGCGGAGGATAGAAAGTACGTACCGAACCCTAGGGTGGCGTACGGCGTGTTCGAAGGACCGACGCGATCGAAGGGCATTCGCACCATTCTGGAGCGCACTGGCGTTCGCTAGTGATCGCACCCAACATACCCTTATTTGTTTTGAGCCTGTCGCTCCGAGAAAGCTTGTCTCTCGCAGCCTGCGAGAAGTGACAGTTTGCGCGCCCCGGGGGCGCGTGTCCCGGGGTAATGATTTCATCAACTTTTCACGATCCCGAATTGCCACTACTCTTCACACACAGGGCACGATACTAGACTGCCACACTCGCCCGGATCGTCCCCTTCTGGGGCCGGTTCTGCAGCCTGGGGGCGACGAGCGCGAGACACGGTGGGGCCAGGAGAAGAGAGCGCCCCGAGACGACTCGCTTGCAAGCGCCAAATCTAGAAATGTGCGTGCATGCGCATCTGGGGCCGGTTCTGCAGCCTGGGGGCGACGAGCGCGAGACACGGTGGGGCCAGGAGAAGAGAGCGCCCCGAGACGACTCGCTTGCAAGCGCCAAATCTAGAAATGTGCGTGCATGCGCACACGCACGCGCATTCGCGCTGCCTACTGGTGGCGCTGCAGCAGGAAGCGGTCGAACTTCTCGTCCACGTTCCCGAAGCCGCTCACGCGCGCAGCCACGATCGCCGGGCCGGGGAGGAGCGCACCCTTTTGCGACTTTGGCGAGCCGAGGGCGTCGATGTTCTTCAGCGAGTTCATCTTGTGCAGCCCGCTGACGTTCGCCTGGGAGAGGCGGCTCGAGCCCGACTGGAAGCGCGAGACGGAAGCGCGAGTACCGCGGCCGGCCGACGTCGCCGTCCGCTTCGAGCCGCCGAGGAGGCCACAGCACGACGCGAGGCCGGCAAAGGCGTTGCGGCCCGATGGCCGCGAGGCGCCGCCCTCGAGGAGGGCCTCGGCCTCGAGCACCCCCATCTTGACCACGTCGAGTAGCAGCAGCAAGACGAGGTTGTACAGCCAGGTGATGAGCACATCTTGTGGCCGGAGCTCGTTCACCAGCCAACTGGCACCGGGGCAGAGGCGGGGGTGTAGGAAGCTACGTAACGGCTTCGTCTAGGCTGCATCTCACCCGCCCGAGAAGAGAACGAGTCCGTTCACGACGATCTGCGATGCGATGGCCGACCCGGCGAGCTTGTTGTCGGGTGTCGAAGCGAAGAAGAAGCCGGGGGTGCGCGCCGAAAATATGAGAAAGGCGGACGAGTTTGTGATCTGTAAGAACATGAGCGCCTCCTTGTACTTGAAAGACTCGACGAAGGACTCGCTCATGAACGCGTGGCCGTAGACGAAGAGGATGCATGAGCCGGCGGCAAGGAAGAGGCCCATCGCGTACGACTGGACGACCAGCCCGCGAACGGTCGGTGTCTCTGGCTGCGCCGACGGCGTCTGCTTATCGTACGCGATGGTGACGATGGTCAGGTCGTGGAAGAGCGCGAGCAGGATGATGTAGAGCGCGGAGAAGGCCTCGTTGAAGACGAAGGACAGGAAGCACAGGAAGCAGACGACCTGTACGGTGCAGCAGATGCGGTAGACGACGTACGCTTTGAGCCGCTTGAAGATGCGCCGCGACGTGAGGATCGCAGTGTAAATCGGCCCTAGCCCCTCGCGGGTAAGGATGATGTCGGCCGCTGTCTGGGCCGCGTCGGTGGCGCCGGCGACGGCGACGCCAACCTGTGCTTTCGCCAGAGCTGGCGCGTCGTTGACGCCGTCTCCGGTCATGCCGACGACAAGGCCAGCCTGCTGCAAGACCGCCACCACCTCGTGCTTGTCCTTCGGCATCACCTGGGCAAAGCCGTCGGCCCAGTGGATGAGCTCATCGCGCTGGGCCGAGACCGGCCATAGCTCCGTGTTGGGCATGATGTTGGTTCCGAGCTCAATCTGGCGCGCCATCTCCTTCGCGATGTTGAGGTGGTCCCCGGTGATCATCTTGACGGCGACGCCAGAGCCGCGGATATTGGCAATCGTCGACGCCGTGTCTGAGCGCGGCGGGTCCATGATCGGCAACGTGCCGGCGTACTTCATCGGGCCTCCGTTGACGCCCACCGCGACCGCGATCGTCTTGTAGCCTTGCTTGCCGAACTCCGCATCGGCCACGCGGACGCTTGGCGCGATCGTGTCGAAGTCGGAGCATTTCCAGGTCTCGCCGCCGTCGGCGCCCGTCTCGAGGATCTTGGAGACAATGCCTATGGCCAGGTGTCGTGGTATCAGTGATATGTCACAGCTTCGGGTCTCGAGGCCATCGCGACGGTGGCCTTTCGCCACGCGCAACTTCTTCCCCGTGTTGAGATCGAGCACGTCCGCGACCGTCCGCTTGACAGTCGGGTTGAAGCCAAAGTACTTTTCGGTGCGGAACTTCTTTCCTAGCGCGTCGGCCGCGACGTCCACGTCCCCGCCCGGGCCGACGCTCATCTCGGCAAAGGCCTGGTAGACCGCGCGGTCGATGGCGTCGTCCTTGTTGGCCGCATTGGAGGCGACTGCCGCGTAAGTCAGGACCTGCTCGGCGGTGAAGCCGTTCCAGCACTTCGCCATGGAGTGGTAGACCGTCATCTGCGCGGTGGTGAGCGTGCCCGTCTTGTCGGAGCACAGCACGCGCATCGAGGCGACCTCCTCCAGCGCGGTGAGGTGAGTGACGATGGCGCCCTCCCCCGCGAGCTCCTTTGCGCCGACGGAGAGCGTCACCTTGAGCACCATCGGCAGCGCCACGGGCACGCTGGCGATGACGAGGCAGAGCGACATCTCGAGGATCTCACCCAGCTCCTGCCCGCGCACGACCACCTGGTAGTAGAGGAGCGCCGAGACGGCGACGAGCGTGATGAGGATCAGCACCTTGCCCGACGCCTGGATCTTGGACTCGAGCAGGCCGACCTGGTGGCCGCTCGACTCCTGGATCGACTTGGCGGCCTCGCCCATCATCGTGTTGAGCCCCGTCTCGGTGACGAGCATCTCGGCCTCGCCCGTCTTGATGATGGAGCCGCTCCACAGCTTCTCGCCCGAGCCGACCTCATCGCCGTCCTCGCGCGGCACGGCGACGGGCAGCGACTCTCCCGTGAGCGCAGCCTGGTCGACCGAGAGCTCGTCACCATGCAGCCAGCGGCCGTCTGCAGGCACGACGTTGCCGCCGCGCACAAAGACCTACAGTGAAGCGCGCAGACTTGGGAAGGGGCTGGAGAACAGCGGACTGCAACGGCGGGAGAGGCAGACCACGTCCCCGGGAACTACCTCGGTGATCTCAATCATGACACTCTTGCCGTCGCGCTTGACCGGGAGTTTGCGGATGAGGCCGTCCTTGAGGGCGTCGACAGAGCTCTGGGCGTTTAGCTCCTCGATGAAGCCGAGGGTCGCGTTTGTGAGCAGCAGAGCGCCGATGATGAAAAAGTCGAGCCAGTCGCCGAGCGCCGCTGCAAGGATCGCCGAGAGCTCGATCATGGCTGGCATCGTGCCGAGGAACTGCTTGGTGAACATGTAGAGCATGGACTCCTGTGGTGTGGGCCGAGGAGGTGGCGGTTACTATGCGAAGCGTAACTCACGAAGCGGCGGTGGTCGTCGGCGACCTTCTCTTCGACGATCTCATTTCGACCAAACTCCTGCAGAAGCGCAGCGGCTTGGGCGGAGGTAAGACCCTCCCGCGGATTCGAGGCCTGCCGATCGTTCGCAAGCAACGGCCGCTCGAGCTCTGCCGTCACGACGCCGTGGGCCAACGCCATTGACCGCTTGACCGACGGAGTGTGGGGTGCAGAGGAGGGGTACAGAATGTTGATTCAGACCGGAGTTTTTCTTTTTCTTCTTTCCTGAAGTTTTGATGCTCGGTCTCGTTGACCACCTCTCTCTTTTATGTGGCTCTTACGTACATTTAGAGAGAGCACTCCCGCCTCTCGTTTGTTTCACACCACGCGGAACGCATCTGGTCCATCGCTTCGGTGAAGGGGGTGAACCGCGCCATCCTCGATCGCCGTGTAAGCTCGCTTCCGAGCTCTCACGCCGCGCGTAGGGCCTTTAGGGGCCTAGAGAACACCCCCCCCTCTAGCCGCGCCGGGCCCTGGGTGGCTTGAAATGGATCGCGCCGACAGCCCGTGCTCTGCTTGTCTTTCCTAGGCTGATCTTCTGTGCTTGGTGATCTTTGGTGTGTGTAGTGCGTGTATCCACTGCAGTACGTCTTCTGTCGTCTCATCCGGGTCACCCCGGCGCGCCCGCGGCTCTACGTTCTCATCCTGCACCCTCATGCACGACGTGTATTCGACGCTGCATACATGGAGATGAGCTCCTCCAAAACGCGACGAACGTGAAGATGAGAAGCAGATCGAGCCGCGTCAACCCGTCGCCGGCGGCCGCATCGAGCCAGTTGCAGGCGCGCCGCTGCCCCAATCGTCCGGCCTCTGGGTGCGCTTCTTAGCTCCCCGGCCCTGCCTGGGCGTGCGGCTGCCAACTGCACTCCAAGTGCTCCAAGTGCTCTACGGCTCTAAGCAAGTGTCTGTGATTGTGCGTGGTGTACAGTGTAATGTCCACTGCATCTAGCTCCGAGTAGAGGGGGCGTCCTGCAGTTAAGGGAAACCCGGTACGCGGGTCCAACCCTCGGAGAACCGTGTTTACTTCTTTATGGCCCCTTCCCTGCGAACGCGCACCCCCCAGGGCTAGGGCTCTCTTGCCCGCAACCCGATCCCGATCATCTGGCCCGCTGGGTGCGCTTCTGAGCTCCCCGGCCCTGGGTGTGAGGCTCCCAACTGCTCCAAGTGCTCGGGGTCAGGGCTCTCTTGCCCGTAGCCCGTCCCCGAGCATCCGGCTCTGGGGGGAGGCGGGGGCCCCCGGAGGCACCGTGCGCCGCGCAGCAGTGCGGAAACGGGGCCCCGGCGCTCAGAGTCGCTCAGAGCGCCAACTTCCCGAATGATTACGGTTGATTAGAGGGAAGATTTGGAGAGATCTCGAGGAGTACATACAGATAGACCCTCCAATCATCAGCAAACTCCGACCTGATCGGTCGTACTGACCGCCGACATATCACTCCAGACAGCAGACAGGCCGGTCCAAGAGAGAGGCACCGGCGCTGTCCTGAGAAGGTGCGTGGTCCCTCTTGACTACCCATGCGCGCGAGGCTGTGTAGGCATAGCCTCGAGATTGCCAGCAGCCAATCCGAGGCAGTTTGTGACGCGCATTGCGTCAGAAGCGTGCACGCGCTGGAAGGACACCTTCCTACTGGCCGTACGATCAGGTCGATCAGGTCGTCACTGAATGTGCTGGATGCTAAGGCCGCGAGCTATGCAGGTGGTCAATTGTGCAGCAGGGCACGGTCAGCAGCGCCGACAGGCTGTCGCAAGGGTGATAGCATGGCCGCAAGTTACGAGTCGCGCTGCCGATCGACTCATGGCGGACGATCGCGCCGCACATGCGAGCGGCGCGCTGAAAAATCTGAAACTGGGCCGGGAGGCAGCGCGGGACGTGGCCAGTACTGCTATGTGTATGTACCGGCCCTATATGCACCGGTGTGTCCTGCCTATGTACGTATACTTTTAGCTTATGTACTCTCCTAGAGAGTACACAGTGCATTGGCAGGGTTAGACGTCGCGCGAATGCATATCTTAGTCCATAGCGTGTCTTGAGCACTTGAGCACTGGATAGGGTCGATTCCGCGTGGTACGGGACCCCTCGATCGTCTCGCCCACCCTCATTGGTGTGTTCACTGGGGGGGGTCATAACAAACACGGTACAGGATCGAGGTGCACGCTGCTCTGTGTGCTGAGGCAGTGTCGTCCCCCCTCTCCTCGACGGTGATGGCGGTGTGACCGATCGAGCTACAAGAGGAGCTTGTTCAGCAGGATCCGGGAGATAGTCGCGTGCACTACCTCACTGGGCCTGAGACCACAGAGCCAGCATCCCATTACCATGTTCAAACTCCGCACTTTAATTCGAACTTTCTCGCCTCGGCTCGTGGGGCTCGGGAGTAGTCAAGCAGGTGTGCGGGGTGGGCGGGAGGGGGCCTGGGAGCATTTTTTTGCATTTCCGAGGCGAGCGTGGGCCGTGGTGGGCCCCTCCGGGCCTCTCTCAGCAGCACGGAAAGTAGCGCGCGACAGAGCGCTGTTCTCGGCCCCCTGAGCGTATTGGGACGAGCCAGACTAGCATGCACATCGCCTTGGCACGTAGGACGCACGACTTACCCACGCACACCCCGGTGACAATCTTGGAAATCTCCCGACAATCTCCCCAAATCTCCTCCCGCTCTCGCGAGTAGCGCGGCGCAGCGGGGCGCGTTGATGTCGATGAATGCAGTGTGGACTCCTTTTCGACACTCTCTAGCACCGGTGAACACACAGGCGTTGCTTCCGAGGTGGTAAAAATCTGTGAATGCCCGCCGAAGTTGTCGCGGTTTTCCGACTTGTCTCGTGCTCGAGCCATGCCGAAAAGAGCGGGCGCAGGCCTGGGACAGCGTCGCAAAAGCGGCCAAGGAGTCCGTCCCGGCTCCAGGCCAGGACCAGATCGCCGCTCGGTACCGCCAGTTTGCGACTCTGTGCCTGCGCAGTCGTCGCTATCTCACGCTTCCGATCTCGTCACAACAGGCGCCCTCGCCGAGTGCAACGTCCTCGCGGCCGCAAAGCCGTGCTGGCTCGCGCAGAGTCGGCGTCGCAAAGAACCTGAGAGCGCCGCGGCATGCTACGGTTGGCGACGTCCTCGGCGAGGCCATGGAGCTGCATAGCACGAGCGACGAGGGCCGCCGCGACGGGATCTACAACCAGAGAGAGCACGGACGCCGAGGATCGCTCTCCCGTGCAGCGCCGCAGCGGCTCGTCGGCGGCTCGTCGGCTGCGGCCTCGAACGGAGATCGCATGGAGGTTGACGAGGAACCTCCCTCTCTGAGCAGTGCTCCAGCGGAGCCTGCGCAGCAGCAGCAGCAGCAGCAAGCAAGCGTGCTCACGCTGGTGGCAGACATCGGACGCCTCGAGCTGGAGGAGGTTGGCCACCGTGCCGCCGCTCGCGAAGCGATTACAGCGACAACCGGGACGCAAACATCAGGCGTGCCGACGCCTCGCGAGCTGCGTGCCCAAGCCCGGCTCGACTTGCAAGTCGTAGGGCTGCGCGAGGAGGAGCGGCGGCGGCAGCGGCTGCACGCGGCGGCAACGACGAGGCTCGTTCGAGAACTGGCGCTGAAGCTCTCGAACCCGCTGCGACACTTTGGCGGGGGTGCATTCATTCAGTTGATGATGTGCGAATTCGTCATGCGGCCAGAGGTACAGGGCCGCTCCGGCCGCTCCCTCGGCGTAGCGTTTCGCTCGCAGCTGCTGCTGGTGTACGAGCCCAGCGACGTGCCGACGCTCCCGGGCCTCTACAGCCTCGACGTCTTGCAGGCGTCGCTCAACACTCCGCTGTTGCAGCGGGCCGCCCTGCAGGCGATCGACGACGTGAAGCTCTTCTCGCTCCACCTGCCCGGCGTGCTCGGCAAGGTGGAGCCGACAGAGGCCGACTCGCTCCTCGGCCTGTGGCAGCGCGCGGCGGAGGTGCGGGCAGCGGAGGCGCGCCGGCCGCAGCGCGGCCGGCCACGCCATCGAGTCGAGTACGCGCTGCGTCAAAACATGACGGGTAATCGTTACTCGGCCGCCCTGCGCAAGGCCGTGTACTTGTACCGCCACAAAAGCGGTACGGAGCGCTCAATCTCGATGCGCGGCGCTGCGTCGCTCGCTCGGGATGGCGCCACGCTCCTGTTCGACATCTCGGACGACGATATCGCACGCGTGCGGCTGCCGAGCGCGGGCACGTGCTCCCTCATCGACCGGGCCGTCCACCGGGTGCAGCGCATGCAAGAGGTGGAGTTCACCTTCTCGCGCGTGACCTACTTCGTCGCCTTCGACCTCGGCTCCCGCTCTCGGAGAGGGTTCATAGCGGGACACCTCGGAGCAACTCGCCCGCACGACGGGCTCCGTGAGGTCTCCTGCTTCGCCTCGCACCTCGGCAAGCAAAAGACCGCTGCGGTAATCGCCAGGGAGACGCTGCGGTCGGTCAAGGCGACGGGCGCGCCGCTCGAGCTGTTGCACTTCATTTGCTCGGACAACGACAACACGATGAGCGGCCGACACGCAGGCGTGCACAAGCAGCTCTGCGAGCTCATCGAGGCGGACACGGGCGGCGGCCACTGGCTGATTACGCGCATCCCGTGCCTCTCTCACATCGGCCACAACTCGGGGCTGCAAGCCCTCCGCTCACTCGGGCCGCTCACGCGGGCTCCGGGCCTGCTCCTCTCGCACCGAAAGAGGCGAGACGACGAGGTGAGCGGGAGTCGGTGGCGCGCGACTGAGCTGCTGGAGGACCTCTGCTACGCCCTTCGCACGACCCCCGGCTGCACCGAGCACATCCGAAAGACGGAGGGTCTGAAGACGCTCGGCGGCGCGCCTCTGTCGCCCGGAATGCGTTGGGGCTACTCTTGCGGCCAGGCCTCCTACCTCGCCCCGACAAGCCGGCGGCTTGAGATTGGCCTGACCTTTGTCGTCGACTACGAGCTGCGCGCAAACGGCTTCGGTGGCCTGGCTCCTGCTTCGGGCGGCGTGGACGACCCGCTCGCCGACCCGATCGGCTTTGAGGGTATGGCGGTGCTGCTGGACGACAAGTTCGACTCGTCGCCCACTTCGATCGGCGCCAAGCTCGCGGCGCTGCTGCGCGAGGTGGCGCAGCCCAAGGTCCGCGTCGCTCTCGCTCTCATCGCTGAATTCGACAACCTCTTGCTTGACTCTTTCCTAAGCTTCACCGAGAATGACGAGGGGAAAGCGATGGAGAAGGTCCACCGCGTGTTGCGCCGCTGCTATGCCTGGCTTGCCTCGGCCGCGGACTCCGCCAACGCGCCGATCGCCTCTGTCTGGGCTGTCGACCTCCTGCCGGTCAAGGAGTTTGTGCAACGGGCCGCCAATCCCGCCCTCAGAGCGGTCAACGTGGAGTCGCTCGCCACCAGTATTTTTGGGGCCAACGAATACACCGTGGACGGCCTCGGCACGAGTGGCTACTTTGAGCGCGAGTCTTCGCCCTTCTTTGATAACCCGCTTCTGCTGCAGTATGGCCTCTTGGACGACAAGGGTGGTCTGAAGGCGACCATCGACCTCCTGCTCTCGTACGAGAAGCAGGGCGCCACCGGATTCTACGAGAGCATCGCGAACCACATGTTTGACGGCAGCACGACCGAGAAGGTGCAGAGCGCGATAGAGTCCGACAGGTACGAGGGTCCGGGCGACATCTGCTCTTCGACGCTTCGGGCGATCCTTCACGATATCTCGGAGGTCCTCGAGCAGCCGGGCAACGCGTCGCTGACGCTGGAGGAGATTGTCGACCGCGACCTCGTCAAGGACTCGGTCGACCTCCTATCGCACCTTCGCGAAGTCTCGCGGAGCCTACCGATCTCGAACTTTAAGTGCGAACAGCAGATCAAGACGGCGAAGACCGGCGTCCATCACTCCGTCTTTCGCAACCCTCTCACGCTCGAGGTCTACATGGCTGCCGCCCACCGAGACGCCGACAAGTTGTACGAGGCGAGCGACGACGATTTTCGCTGGGCCGAGAGCGAGGAGAGGGCCGAGGTAGCTGCCAGGCGGGCAGAGCGCGCGAGCGGCGCGGCGCAGCTGCCGATGACTGGCGAAATGGACGTAGACGGCAGTGATGACGACGACGACGTCGACTCAGAGGCGGAAGGGGAGGCGGCGGAGGAGGCGGAGGCGGCGGCGGCGGACGCTGCCACGGCCGCGCAGCAGCACGACGGAGGCGCGACCGAGTCGCCGGTGTCATCGATCGCCGAGACGCGGTCCCGGCTCCTGAAGGACCGCGTCGCGGAGATCACCTACCGCGACGAGCCCGGCGTCTACCTCGCTCTGGTTACGGAGACTCCAGCCGCCAGGGCAAACAAGGTCAGCCACCTTTGGCTACACGAGGTGCTGGATGGGTCGGACCTCTACATCATGGATCCGTGGAACCGCGGCGAGTCAAAGACTCCGATCCGCAAGGTGGCCGAGCCGCTGTCGAGCGTGGAAGAGCTGCTGCCCGCCGAGGCCGGGCAAGCTTTGGCGGGCGAGGCGCTACGTCTTGCTCTGGACGCGATCCGGAGCGACCCCGGCGCGCGGCTCCAGCCCGGCACCCTCCGCGTGTGGCGTCGGGCACGCGCAGACCCTCCCTCCTCCGCCACCGCTACTGGCACCTCCGCCTCCGCCGCCACTCTCAACCGCGCGGCCGCCACCAGCTCTGCCAGCTCCGCCGCCGCCACTTCCTCCGCCGCGGCCTCTAGCTCCACCACGGATGCGGCCTCTAGCGGTGCTGCTGGCTCCGCCCAGGCCGGTTCGTCTACCGTCTCCTCAGAAGCTGGGCTCGGCATCTCGTGGACAGAGCTAGAGCCGACGCTCTACGGCCGGGCGACCCAGCGTCGCTCGAGCTGCCCCGTGCCGACGGACAGGTACGACGAGCACTTGAACGACATCATTGTGCATAACATGCAGGACCTCTCACCGTGGGCCGACAGCCAGGACGTGCAGGCGAGGGCGCCGATCTCGGGGATGACGATTCGCGCCGGATCGCTCTTCAACCGCTTCAAATCGGGAGCCCCCACCGGGTGGGTGGCGAAGCTGTTCGCGGGCGAGGCACCGACGGAGCGCAAGCTGGTCATGCAGCGCTTTACCGACGGCAGCGAGTTTGGCGGGCACTGGCACCAGCTCCTCTTCTTCGTCGACCAGAGACGGGTGCTCTACCACGAGCCCTATGGCGGCGCAATCGACTCGGGCATCGCGTCTTGCTTCCACCGGAGCCCCGGGCCTGCCGCCGGCTGGGCGCTGGAGGTGGTGGATGTGCAGCTGCAGTCTTGCACTCACGAGTGCGCGCTCTGGGTGGACTTTGTCGCGGAGGTGGCTGTCGACTACGTGAGGAGCGACCTGACTCGCTCCTTCAGCGAGTACCTTCGCGGGTGCGCTCTCCCTGTGTGTGTGTGTGCATGCCTGCAATAAGGCTGACCGGTGTCGCGCCGCCCCCGCAGGCGTGAGGAGATCACCCCGCTCAACGGCATGCGGCGGACTTGCACGGCGATGAAGACGGCGAAGGCAAAAAACAACGCCTTCGTCGCACAGCGCCGAAACGACGTGCGCACGCTGTTACGTCTAGCCTATGTCCAGCGCCAACTGCCGCACACAGGCTCCGCAACGCTGACCGCCTTTGGCGCAGCGGCGGAGCAGGAGCCTGCCGAGGACACAGACTCGGACTTTGAGATGTTGACCTAGACCGACGTGTGATTCAGATAGTTGTCTTCAGATGTGTGTGTGATTCAGATGTGTGTGCGTGTGATGTTCGGCACGGGTATAGATTAGAAGGAACGTATCGTCACACACACCCTCTTTGAGAGAGGGACACAGCGTGGTGCACAGTAGCGGGCTAGCTTCTACAGAGGCAACCGGTCCGAGGGCGAGCGTTTCGCTCGCCCTGATGCGCATGAGCGACGTGGAAGCTCTCGACCGGCGCAGATGCCACGGGCGACACCAATCCCAGCCTCAAAAGGCGAGGAGGGCTGGTGGAGTGCCCAGACGGCAGTGGCTTCCGAAGAACTTTTTGCGGGTGACGCAAAGGATCCGAGGAGAGAGCACCTCGGCTGCCGGCGAGGCATCCGCCCCGCGCCCACACATCTGGTGGAAAGTGCGAAGAAGCGGTGGCGGCAGGCTAGCCACCGGTGGGGCACACGGAGCGATATGGCGTTCGGCTGCGATTTGAGTGCAACCGGGTGACGCATCTCCTCCACAGAGACGCGGGGACGGCGTGCCTGCGAGGCGCCCGATATGCGCCAACGGACCCAATGGAAAGTGCGAAGCGAGCACTCGACGGCTCGCAGCCTGTGGACGGAGCACGAGAGCTCGAACCTCGCACTCTCGTGCAAAATCGGCACCTCGGAGCGCCTTTTTCACACCGCATTCGAGCCCATGAAAACAACAATGTACCCCAAGCAGCACGATCACGCCTCGCACCGGTGCGGTGGTGCCGGGCGGCTCTAGGGGGTCAGGCTGGCTGCATGGCACCACCCGTAGCCCGTTTTGCTGCCCTGGCATCACCCGGAGGGGGGATTGAACATAGTATCCCATCACCCGTCTCGGATTTGCATTTCGGGCATTTGCGTGGGCGGAGGCGGTGTGCGGGGCGGGGGGGTCGAACCACTCGCACTCCGGCGGGTGGAGGCAAGCCCATCACTGGGAGGAAGCGTGTCTTATGTACGTCTTATGCAAAGTCTTATGCAATACGGCCGCGCGACGACATGCGTGCGTGCGAGGCTGAGAATTTCCTGCACCACCTCTAACCCAGGAACAGACCAATGACCACAGACGCAGCTCGGTGCCCCGGCCACGCTATCAAAGCACAAAGGTCACGACATGTGTAGGGAAGGCACGGCCATGTGCGATGAGGCCGGCGACAGACGACAGTACAGACGACAGTATCGAGAAGGGCTCGCTGCGGCGGCCGCGCGAGTCTAGCAGCGTGGGGATTATGCGGCATGTGTGTGGGGGCGGCCGGCTCACGCGGCCGGCTGGTCCTTGTCTGGGGTGGCATCGGGCATCTCGATGACGGGGTCGGAGGTGTCGACGGACTCTGCCCGCGACGTGTTTCCCGAGCCGTGCTCGGCGGGTTCCAGGGGGGCCCCTCCGTGGATGGACGAGTCGAGGTCCTCCTCGGGGGCGGCGGCCATGTCTGCGGGAAAAGGGGGGGGGGGAGGGGGTTCCGCACAGGTCTCCCTCCGCCGCAGCTTGCCCGCCTTCTTCAGGAGCAAGAAGACGAGGCCGGCGTTGGTGCCCGACCAGGCGAGGATGCACACCATCTGCAATAGCAGGGCTAGGGCTAGGGTTAGGGCTAGGGTTAGGGCTAGGGTTGGGGTTGGGGTAAGGGTTAGGGTGAGGGTGGGGGTTAGGGCTGGGGTTAGGATTAGGGCTAGGGTTATGGGTAGGGTTAGGGTTACTAGCAGAGGATGCAGACCACCTGCAGAAGCGCGGCGCCGAGCAGCTTGCCCCCGCCGTAAAAGAGGCCCGCGCGCCGCTGGTAACCGGCGGCGGCGGCGAACTCTTCCGTGGTGAGCAGCGCGGCGGCGATCACGCCCCACGCGCCGCACGCGCCGTGCACTGACGACGAGTCGAGCGGGTCGTCCACCTGTACCATACCTCCATAGTATCGAATCCAGTGTGGGTGTCCCGTGGGGGGGGGGGTAGCAACTGTCGTGAATACACGGACTGCGAAGACCATGAATAGAAGAGGGCCGAATACGGCGGAAGACGTGCCCGCTCGCGCGCTAGTTGGAGCACAAGACTGCGTCTCTCCGCTTCTAGACCTCTCGGCGCCTTGAGCTTGTGGAGCACACAGTGCGAGCAGCCGCGGTAGACGAGCCCGCCGATCATCCCGATGACGAGCGCCGCCCAGGGGTGCACCTAGCCGCAACGCTCGTCTCACCCAATCTCGGAGACGGTGGTGGCCGTCCCGAGGGCGGTGGTGAGGGCGGTGGTGAGGGCGGCGGACGGATGGGCAGCGGCAAGGGCGGCGGTGGAGACGGCGGCGGGGATGGCGGTGGGGGTGAGGGCGCACCGTCGCGCAGCCGGCGGTGATGGAGACGAGGCCGGCGAGGATGCCGTTGCAGATGGCGGGAACCTAGCGCGCTGTGTTTCTTCTTTCGGCGGGGGGGCGGTCTTGTTCTCTGGGCGAGGATGGCGGCTGCAGATGGCAGGAGCCTCGTAGTTGACGGTGCCTCGGCGCCACTGGCCAAGGGTGGCGATGGCGAGCGAGACGAGTCCGGACCCGGCGGCGGACAGTGTCGTGTTGACGACGATGCGCCTGCGAGGCGCATATCGGGGGGTGAAGGGGGGGGTTGGGGGGGGTTGGGGAGGGGGGGGGAGAGGGGGGGGGGGGGGGGTTAAAGGGGGGGGGTCTCCCCGCCTGCAAAGTCGATCACCCCGTCCAGCACCGCGTCGCTGGGGAAATTACCCCCGGAATCGACATGCCCGTTTTTCGTGGACAGCCACCCCGCCTCGGACCAGCACCAGTGGACGATGATGGGGTAGATGACGGCGGTGAGGATGAAGGTGTAGGCCAGGTCTGCGGGAGGGGGTGGGCTGAGATGGTGGTCGGGAGGGGGCGGGGAGGGGGAAGGGAGGGGGAAGGGGGAAGGGGGGGCGAGGGAGCGGGAGGCGCACAGGCGAGTAGCTGCGCGCGCTCTGCCACTGCGCCAGAGACAATGGTGCCGGCGGCGGCGGCGAAGGTCCACTGGAACCACCAGAAGACGCGATGGTAGCCCGAGTCGGGGCCTGAGGGATAGGGTGGGGGGGGGGGGGCGAGCGAGCGGGCTGGCGGCGGGAAAGGGGGGAGGGCGCGTGATGGGCGGCCGGCGAACCTGCGCCGTAGCCGGAAAGGAAGAATGAGCTCATGTCGGAGCCGGCCGTGCCGATGAAGTCGTTTGTGCCATCAAACGCGATGCCGTGCCCCACCACCCACCAGATGAAGGCGGAGAGGCACGCGTCCAGCAGGTTCTTCAGCAGGATGGCTTGCGTCGAGCGGGAAGTCACCGAGCCCGCCTCGAGCATTCCAAAACCGCACTGCGCGGGGCGGCAGCGGGGCGAGCTGAGGTGCACGCACACGCACGCGGCTCCAGGCGGAGCGCCGACGCAAGCAGGGCGTGGGGGGGCCGGCGGGGCGCGGGGCGCCTGCATGAAGAAGACGTTCAGCGACGCCACAAGAAGGAAGAGGACGTCGGCAGACGCGCCAGGGAAAAGACTGTGCTCGTCGACCCGGGCCTCCAGCTGCTCCAGCCTCGCGAGGAGATCCTCGATGGTCGCGTTCATAGGCGGCGGTCCGAACTGGCCGAATGGAGGCGCGACAAAGGGCGGGCCTTCTGTCCGTCGCTGTTTCGTAATGACACTTGTCACCCCTTCGTGACGATTTGAAGAAAGTGCACGCCGACCCAATGTTTTTCTTCTTGTTGTACTGCCCGACGCCACAGTCGACACAGCACTCAACAATGTCGGTCCTCTTCCTCCCGGTCACGAAGGAGGACCTGGCAGCCTACGCGCTCGAGGGCCTGCCCGTGGCCGAGCACGGGGTCGACTCGCTACGCGCTGCCGCGCGCGCGGCGCACCTTCCGGACGCCGTGCTCGACGACGAGGCAACGCTGCGGCCGCTGCTCGCTGCGCTGCTCGTCGCGGGCGGTGCCGAGCGGCTGGATCGGCGGAGCAAGGGGCCGGGCGAGGCGGTCTCCTCCGCGCTGCCCGACTGGCTCGACCTCCGCCCGGAGGCGCGCAACTATCTGCTGCTGGTCGTGCGGCGCGAGCGAGAGGTGACGCGCACGACGGCGGACGCGGCCAATCTTCTCAACAAGGCGGAGGTGGTCGAGTCGTACCAGGTGCACGGTAACCGGTGGACGATGCGGCCCGACGGGCGGGAGCGCCACCCGGCCCTCAAGAAGGCGATGGCGCTCGAGCCCGCCTCGGAGGCGGCGTCGACCGCAGAGTGGCTCAACCACCTCGGGAACGCGATCGAGGCGCCGCAGCTCGGGCGGCCGTGGTACCGGTCGACGTTCGTCCTCCTCATCCTCGCCTTCGCCGTCCTCTTCGTCCTTGTCCACCTCCTCCTCCTCGCGCGCGCCCTCTCCAAGGTGCACGCCTCGGACCCCGCCCTGCTGCTACTACCCGTCAAGGCTTTCGGCGGCGCCGCCGCAGTCGGCCTCTTCGCCGTGAGCATCCACAAGCTCAGCGGGGGCGGCGGCGCCAGCTGAGGTCCGCCGCGCACCGCGGCGTTGCGGCACTGCGGGCCGCAAGCACGCGGGCAAGAGTAGAGACGGGAGTACGTTATCTCGCCTGCATCTCGGATCGTCGCCTGGCCTGCAGGGGTAACGATGACGTGGCTTGGGTACAAAACAGTGATGAGCCACCAGTATGTCACTAGAGGCGTGTACTGCTGCCTCACAGCACACAGGTGTCAATGTCGTGTCAATACCGGGGTAAACGCCGTCGCCCAACCGTCGGCGCGGCTGTGAACGCGTCGTCTCTCGCTCACGCACGCGGCCTGATAGCCTGAGCTGCCAGTGAGCGCATTCATGCTCCTCCTGGTCCTCACCCTGGTGGGGCTCGCCCCGCACCACTGGTGCAGCCGGCCGGCGGTCGCCACCCGCGCCGGTCTGCCGGCGCTTCGGCTCTCGCAGCGCCGCGGCGCCCGCGGCGACGGCCGGCGGGTGAGCCGCGTGGCGCAGGTTGTGCAGCAGGAGCTCTCCACCATCATCCGCTCCGGCACGGTGCACGGACCGCGAGCGATCCAGGAGCGGCTGCGACACATGATCTCGATCGTTGATGTCGACCTCTCGCCCGACCTGAGCAACGCACGCGTCAAGGTGTCCATCATCGGCGAGCGCAAGGACAAGATCAGCGCGATCCGGTGGCTGCAGTCGTCGGCCGGTCCGATCCGGCACGTGATGGCGCAGGAGCTCAAGGAGATGCGCCGCGTGCCGCGCCTCTCCTTTGTGCACGTCGACGTCTCAAAGGCGGTCGACGTGATGGTGCGGCTCGACCGGCTGGCGGAGGAGAGAGAGCGGCAGGGCGGCGCGGACCTGCTCGACGACGGGCTCGACTTTGGCGCGTCGGACGAGGACGCGTTTGGCGTCGGCGGCGGGGACGAGCATGGCCTCGTCGAGGGCGAGGAGGAGCTGGAGGAGGAGGACTTTCTCTCTGGGGAGGAGGAGGAGGGCGAGGGGGGGAGGGTGGTGCTGTCCGACGACGACGACGATCTCGGAGACCTGTTTCAGTACGTGCGCTAACGAAAGGATCCGCCACATCGAGCGCAACAGCCAGTGCGGCTCCAGCCTCCAAAACGCCGAGAGATTATATACAGAGCTCGTGCGCATTCCGATATTGGAGATTCCAGTTTCCACCGCGCGCGCTGTGCGAAATCCTGCGAATGCCTGGCGAATGCCGAATCCGTCTCTTCCCGGTGCGGGCGTGCCGCTGTGGCCTCTGTGCGTCCGTCCCCCGGGCGCGTGTCAGTGGGCCGTGGCCAAAAACGACGTCGGACGAGCTCCTGTTATCTGGGCTTTTTCGTTTTTGATCACATAAGACATTACTGACGTAGAGAGAGAGAGATGTTTGTTTTGTTAGACATTATAGAAATATTTGATATTATCACAAACTCCCGTACGTACTCTCTCCGAAGGGACTGTAGGGACTCACAAGGACAGCCGAGTCAGCACACCACCAAATTGAATTACGAAATTGCAAAAATATATTCAAATCTGACTCGCTCATGATATGCAGATCGTCGCGTTCGTCGTGGCCTCTTCGGACCGCTCTCTCGCAACCCAGCGTTTCTCTGTGTTCGGGGGGGCGCGTTCTCTGTGCGGCAGCAGTTCGGGCCGCGCGTGGCGAGAAGCAAGCGCACGGGAGGCGATGAGGCGCCAGGGAGGCGGTGAAATCAACACTCAATATGCGGGCCAGCAGGCGCGAGCTGGGGTACGCTCCTCGTGCCTATCCTGCCTGGCTCCAGGCAGGCGCTAGGCCTGCTTGGCGCGTCGCACGCTGAGCTGATGCCGCACCATCACGCCCGCTCCGCGCCACTTTGCGAGGCCCCTCTGGCGCGCCGAGAGGGCCGCGAGCGGGTCGGGGCGCGAGAGGAGGTGGAGCAGCGAGTCGACGCCGGTGAGGTAGCTGTGGACAAGGAAGTTGTTTAGGAAGTGTCTAGGAAGTGTCTAGGTCGACGCCGGAGAGGTAGCTGCAGCAGTCGGGAGGCGGCGAGGGGTGCGGTGCGGTGCGGTGCGGTGCGGTGCGGTGCGGTGCGGTGCGGTGCGGTGCGGTGCGGTGCGGTGCGGTGCGGTGCGGCGCGGTGCGGCGCGGTGCGGCGCGGTGCGGTGCGCACCCGTCCTCGCAGTTGCCCGGCTGCCACGGCGCGCGGTGCGTGAGCACGAGGGCTCCGTCGAGCGGCGCTGCCTGTCGCAGAGTGGTGAGGGGGAGGTGAAGATCGGTGTTCCCTCTCCCCACTCCTCTCTCCTTCCTTCCCCCCATTCCCCCACCCGTTGTGCCCTCCTCTTTCGTCCTTCCCGGTCTCCCACCTTTCCTCTTCCTCCCTTCCCACGGACCTCTTTCCTCCTTTCCTC